CCAGACAGGCTGCCGGATAGGCTGCCAGACAGGCTGCCGGATAGGCTGCCAGACAGGCTGCCGGATAGGCTCCCCATGAAGGCAGCAGCGGACGGACCTTCAACTCCAGCAGCAACTCACTCATCTGCTGGGCAGACATGGTGTGAACAGTGGAGCGGATGCGCTCCAGGACGCCGATCGGGTTCTGTGGGGGAAAAAAGGGGGTATTTCAAGAGGAGGAAGTGGAGCAGTGCCCGAAGGTGGGCGGGTGAGTCGCCAGGTCAAAGGGGAGAAGGCCGAGGCAACAAGCAAATGCCGCATGACGTACCGAGCGCCCGTCACTCGCGCCGAAGCCCGGCATCTGCAGGGCGTTCAGCACGGCCGGGCTGCCCATGGGCCCAGGTCCCATCGGCCGGGAGTGCACGCCGCCAGGTCCTCCACCGAGAGCCATCGGGCCGCCCATCATCGACATGCCGCTGTGGCCGCCGACGCCGCCAGCGCCACCACCGTGGCCGCCGTGGCCGCCGTGGCCGCCGCCACCGCCACCGCCACCGCCCCCATGGCTGCCGCCACCGCTAGACGATGAGGAGGAAGTGGGCGCCGACACACGAAGCGGCCGGTTGTGCAGGGTCAGGGACTTGTTGATATTCCGAATGGCCGACTGAGCCGACAGAGCGTCGACATAGTCGCAAAAGCCGCTGCCTTTGGACTTGCCGGTCTTCGGATCGATGTGAAACCTGGCGGCCAGCCGGGGAAGCCGCGGAGGGACAACAGTGCATCGGATGGGCCATCGGGGCCCGGGGGGGATCCCGCACAGAGAAGGAGGCAGGGGCCATGTTAGGGTCAGAGGTCGCCAGGAAGGGCCCGGGGATGCTGCGGAGAACACATACCGGAAGGAAACGACCGGCCCAGCCCGCTGCATCACTTGGATGACTTCCTGCTCCGTGGCCTCGAATGGGATGTTTGCCACTGGGAGGGGGTTTTCCCCGGGGGCATGGGGGAGGCGGGGGCGGGGGGTCAGAGGCCACGAAGGAGATGGCCCAAGAGGGAAAGCGCAAGAGCAAAGGGGCATGGGCAAAAGTCGGGGAGAGGAGGAGAGGGAGGGAGAAGGGGCAGGGGCAGGGGCAGGGGCAGGGAGGGCGAGGCGTACCGAAGACGGTGTTCTCATTGCGCGACATGGTGGCGGGTCACCGAGGGCGGGGGAGAGCGCAGCGCGGAGAAGCCAGGCAGGGGGGAGGGCGAGGGGCAGGGAGGCAAGCAAGCGGAGGGGAAGAAAGGGAACACACAGGGACGAGGGGGGAGGGGGGAGGGGGGAGGGGGATGATGCGTATTGCCGAGATGTCTCGCGCGGCTCCCACCCCAGGGCGGATCCCGAGATAGGCCAGCAGATGCCCACGCACCATGAAATGCCGATGCAACGGACTATCATGTGTCCTCTACCTAAATAACTGTTACCGGGCTGCCGCTTTTCAAACTGCCTGTTCCCGCGCCGGCGGCCGGGAGCTTTTGGCTTGGGACGGGCGCGTGCGTGTGTGCCGGAAACTGGCGCCGAGAAGGGCCATCCCTCTCGGGAGGGGGGGGGGGGGGGGATGTCTGCGCGTGTGTGGGTGCGAGGGGGCTTGGGGAGGCCATATGTCCGACCGCGATCCGCCGATCGGATCGGCAGTGTTTCCAAGCCGCCTGGTCGCCGGGCCGCCGGTTTCCAACGAGGGGAGGCCCAACGGCATGGAGGGCGCCCGAATCCCAGGGGGCGAGGGGAAGATCGCCGAGCCCCCTCGGGGGCAAGGCACGGGCGCCGGAGAACCACACTCATCGGGGTGGCCAGTGCTCCCTTGGCGGAGCGACGCGGCACCATCCCCCGTCGCCCGCCATCGGCCCCTCCCCTGCTTTTGCCTTTCTCTCCCTCGCTTTCTCTCTCTCTCTCTCCCCCCCCCCCGTGCCGTGCAGCTGCTCCCCTCCCTCGGCCCTTTCTCTTTTCCCCCTCCCCGCCCCATCAAGCGCACCTCCAATGGCGCAGCACTCCAGGCGGTCAGTTCCCTCGGCGGATGTGGCGGCCGCCGTGTCGGCAGCCATCGCCTCCGGTGACGCTGGCCGGGACGTGGCCCCCACGTCGCTCGCCAATGGCGCCACCCTGGCCGGGCAATCGTGCTACGGCCACATCTCTGCCGAGCAGTACAACGCATGGATGAAGATCTGCACGGACAATGTACGTCGGCTGGCCATGGCCATCCCCAGGGCACGAGGCGGAGGCAGGGAGCGGAGGGGCGGGGAGAGGGGGGGGGGGGGGGGGCCCTGCCGCGTGCCTACGCCCAGCTTCGCCCTGACGGCCTGCCCGGCCCCATGCTTGCCCCTGTTGCTGACCCGATGCGATGACAGAAAATCAACTCCACCAACTCCTGGGATGTGGACCTGATCAACTTCTTCCACGCGGTAACCGTGGACCCGGCGCCCAGTGCGGCGGCCTCATCGACGGCCGCCGCGCTGGGCTTCACGTCCGGCTCCACAGGGCAGATCAACTTCCAGGTGGCCAGCTGCACGCTGGACGGCTGCGTCAAGGTGTACTCCACCCGTGTGGACTCTCTGTCGGTGGAAACCAACCGGCTGTTGACCGGTCTGGCGGCCTCCTACACCGACCCCGGCAAGGAGACCGCCGGGTCGGATGCCGCCGGCGAAGATGGCACCGGTGTCGCGCCCAGGAAGCGGGTGCGCCTCGATTCCCCCGCATGTGTGTGTGTGTGTGTGTGTGCCAGCCTGGCCCCCCTGTTTGCCCCCTCCTGACCCGGGCGCTTTTGGCGCCCCCCTCCTTCGTTCCCTCGCCCCCCCCCCCCCCCTTGGTCCCCCTGCCCCTCCCGCCTCCGGTCCGGCCTCTTTGCCCTTGCCCGCCCACGGCACACAGACCACGCGCACTCTGGAGGAGAACGAGGCCAACCTCAGCGCCAAAGGCGGGGACATCCACTCTGCGCCGGACCCCCTCTTTCAGAAGACCACGGCCGAGTTCGATGAGGGCGGCGTGTCGGGCCTGCTCCTGAATACCCTGTCGCTGGATTTCTCGGGTCGCGTGGTTTTCGACACGTCGGCCGCGGCTCCGCTGCGCGACCAGGTCCGCGAGGCGGGGCAAATCGCCCGCGAGCCGCAGCTCGCCTCCACCGACCGCAGTGAGGCCATCGCCCGGCTGCGCGGTATGTCCAGCCGCTATTGCTGATGTTGCTGATGTTGCTGCTGCTGTTCCTGCCGGTGGCAGGTGGCTTCCCCCCTCCCCGCGTGTGCCCTTTTTTTTTTCCTTCCCCTGACCCATGTTCCTCCTGCGTCGGCCTGGCGTGTGGCCGGCGGCTTGGCAACCATGCCCGCCCTGCTTTTCCTCCTGCCGCAGAATCCTTCCTCCCGCTCCTGGTCACGGTCGACCGGCGGGACATCTGCCCGACTTTCAAGAACTGGTCCTTCGCCGAGCTGGTGCAGCAGGCCGAGAAGGGCGAGCTCCCCAGCCTGCCCATCCCCTCGACCATTGGCCTGAATGCCGGGCCTGGCGGGCTGGCCGGCGCGCTAGATGGCTCGCTGGACACGGAGAAGAATGTGGCGGCCACCATTTCCGCGGCCCTGGGGTCGGATGCCGGGCCGATGGGCGCCAGTCAGCGCACCCCGACCCCCGGGCCGGACCACGAGGGCCTGGACTTCCAGTCGCTGTTGGATATGGCCACGGCCGACGATGCGGCCGTGGCCCAGGCCGCGGCCGGGCTCGGGCCCGCGGGCGACGCGCGCCTCTCGGACACCGGGGCCCCATGGACCGCGCCGGACCATGATCCGTACTACAATTTCGACTTCGACACCGGGGCGCCGGACATGCCGCTGGACCCGGCCACCGCCTCGGGGCTCGGGAATGGGCCCGACGACCAGGGGGCCGACCTGCCGGGCGCCTCGCTGGCCGGGTCCATCCTGGGCGCGGACTTGGACTCGCTGGCGGCCTTCGCCGATCTGGAGCCGCGCGCTGCCTCCCTGTCCAGTGCTCTGCTCATGGGCGGGTCGAATCAGGCCGGCGCGTCGCTGACCGCCGAGGAGGCCCTGGCCGCGGCGACCAAGCGCCGGAAGTCCACTCGCAAGGGGCAGGGCCCCTTCCTGATGGACCTGCTCGGGTGTGTGGCCGAGCTGGAGGAGGCCGCCCAGCCGGGGGGCTCGGCCGGCCGCGGCACCGACGGAACGGATGCCGAGGAGGACACCGGTGGCGCCGGGCCCGGCGCCGGCGGCACCGGCCCCACTCCGGCCCCCGGGTCCGAGGTGGTTCTCGGCTGCCGGCTTTTCATCCGGGCCAAGCCCTCGCAAATTGACCTGCCCTCGGTGGAGCGCTTTTCCGTCCTGACCATGGCCGAGCTGGAGGAGGCGGCTGCTCTGGCCGGGCGTCCGACCGGGCCCGGCAGCCGGCCGAAGCTCCGGCAGCTGGCCGCCGCGCAGAAGGCCCGCTTTGCGGCGGCCATCCGGTCGGATGCCATCCAGCGCCGGGCGCGTGACTATCTGCTCGACGAGTCGCGGGAGAATGACGCGCTCGAGATGCGGCGGCTGTTTACGCGGGAGCCGCTGGACAATCGCCTGTTGCTGGCTCCGGCCGATGGCACGGGGCCCGAGGCCGGTGGTGCCGGGGGAATGGGCGCCACTTCCGGCGGGCTGACCGCCGGGGGGGCGTCCGGGCACCTGGCCGACGATGACCTGCACCACGACGACATGGACTTCCCGATGATGTTTGGCGCGGGCGGCGACGGGGAGGAGGGCATCCGCGCCGGGCCCGGGGCCAATCCCTTCGACGATACGCTTGGCAATCAGACCCTCACGGATTTGAGCATGTTCCCGGATCTCGGCGAGACGGCTCTCTTCCCGGAGGCCGGCGGGTCGGAGTATGGCGATGAGCTGGTGGCCAAGCCGCGCACCATTCACCGCATCGCCATCGAGTATGCCCGGACCGCCAAGCGGGTGGACATCAAGCGCTTGAAGAAGCACCTTTGGTCGGAACTGGAGGAGACCATTGCCCAGCCGGACCGGTGGTCCGATTTGCTGGAGGGCATTCGCGCTCAGCAGGAGGCCGCCGAGGAGGCGTCCAACGCCGCCGCCGCCGCCGCCGCCGCCGCCGCCGACACCCAGGAGGATGGGTCCTCCTCGGGGGCGGAGGGGACCCCGGCCCCGCAGCCCGGGCATGAAGCCTCCCCCGGGGCCCCCATCCCGGGGGACCTCTACTATGAGCCCTCGGAGCGGACGTATCGCGCCCCTCCGGACGATGCCCTCCCCTTCAGTGCCATCATGTCGTCCCTGCGCAATGTCTACCCTCCGAAGCGCCTTTCAGAAATTTCCGCCGCCTATTGCTTCATCTGCCTGCTGCATCTGGCCAACGAGCATGGCCTCGATGTGCGGGACTCCACCGGCCTGGATGACTTGTACATTGTGGCCCCGGAGGGCACCCCGGCGGTGGTGGCTGCCGGGTCCTCCGGTGCGGGCTCCCCCCCGGCCGCTGCGTCCACCCGTCCGGCAGCCAAGGTAACCTTCCAGCTGCCGGAGGAACCCCCTGCGGCAGCCTCGGAGCTGGCCGAGCCGGTGCCCATGCAGCTCGACTGAAGGCGCATCCCCGCGCCAGAGGGCTGTTTCCTTTGCCGGAAGGGCGAGGATGGGTGCCGGGGGGATGCGTCCATATGTGTGTGTGTGTGTGTGTGTGTGCGCGCGAGTGTGTGTTCTTGCCTGGGTGCTCCAAAGCGGCGAGCCCCCTCGCACACACGCATGTGTGCGCCCGCCTAGACATACAGCCGCATGGATACACACTCCCCTCCCCCTCTCATCCTGCCCCTAGGAGGCGAAAAATACACTTGTCAACCATGCACCTCGTTCTGGGACACCATGAGGTCCCTTTTTTTCTTGTTTGGCTCTCTCTGATTTTTGCCATTTCGCCGGCGACCCATCTCCTGGCAGTCCATTGGGGGAGGACAAAACAGGGCACACGGAAAGGAAATACATGCATGTCGAGGATCCGTCCACCTAATGGCAGCAGCAGCAGCAGCAGCAGCAGCAGCAGGAGCAGCAGCCGCGCCCGGGCCCCTGTGCACACGGACTACGCCGCCTCAGGGCCAGCGAGCCCTAGCTAGCCGAGAAAGAGCCCACGGAAAGTGGCCTCGATGATGCGCGCCAGGTCAGTGGCCGCGTCGTGGCAAATGTCTGCCAGATCGCCGGTGACAGTGCCATCAGCGGTGCCGACTTCGGTGAACAGCCGGACGATGTCCTCCGTGCCACTGGGCCGGACGAAGGCCCGCGCCACCAGCGGCAGCCCGCACCGGGTCTTGAGGCCATTGAGTCGGGCCACCTCAGCCGCCAGGGCCTGGGCCACCTCGGTCGGCTGGCACAGCACATCCTCCTGATCCGGGGAGGTGAGGAACTTCGTGCGGTCGAGCTGCATCCAAGCGGCGTCCCCGGGGGCATCGAGTGTGAGCATGTAGCAGCTTAAGGTGGTGAGTATGCTGTGCTGCGTTGCGCCGTGCGACGATGTGCGACGCTGTGCGGGGCACGTATGGGCATGGGTGTGTGTGTGTGCGCGCGCGCAGCAGGGAAAGGACTGCCCATGACATACCTTGAGGCTCTGCAAGTGCGAGGGCCAATCCCGATAGAGGTCGATCCAGCGGCGGAGCTCGACATCCAGATCGCTGGCAAGCTCAGTCCCAGGAGGAATGCCCTGGCCGGCCGGCAGGCATGTGGCCAGCGCGCGCCATGCCTCCTGCGCCCGGAGGGCCGCCTCGACCGCATAAATCAGACCAATCCCATCGCCGGTGAACTGGTTGAACAGCCGGCTGAAAGAGAGCAGCGCCCGGGCCGCATGGTGGAGGGGGGCCTGGTCGGCCGGAGTGGCGGCCAAATCAAGCAGGGCCCGACAGGCTGCCGGCGAGAAAAGCACCGTCCCATGGCCGTTGGCCTCGAAGTAGACCCCAACATCGAAGTGCCGCTCGGCCAGCGCGTGGAGGTTCTTGACGCCGGAGTTGGCGAACAGCGTTTCCACCCCCTGAAAGGGGGGCGAAAGGCGCGAACGGCCGAGGGGCGAGGGCGGCGGCGGTGGCGGTGGCGGTGGCGGCAGCGAGAGGAAGGGATGCGCTTTGGTCAGGGTCGATGAACCACGGCCAGGCCCATCGGCAAAGGCGAGAGGTGGCGGCGAGCAGCGAGAGGTGGCGGCGAGCAGCGCGAGCCGGCGAGCGAGGGGCCGAGGCACGCACCAAGACCTCGCGCGTGTACTTGGTCGACGCGCCATTGGCATAGCGCGTTTGCACGAACCCCAGGCGCAGCGAGGCTGCCACCTCCGGGCGAAGGTGCACCACCACCGCGATCAGCGACCGCATTAGCCGGAGGAGAAGCACGGCAATGCGATCGCCATCCAGGATGTCGAATGCCCGGGTGGCTGCCAAGGGCCGAGCACGTCAGGCACGCAGACACGAGAAGGCGAGATGGCTGCCTGGGCGAGGACGAGCGGGCAAGTGCCCTGGCGTACTGGTGCTCAAGGAGGAGTAGATCAGTCGGTCGCCATCACCATCGAGAGAGGCAATCCGCAGGGCAGGTGGCAGGCCGGCGAAGGACCCTCGCCCGGGTGGAAGGCGCTTGGATTTGACGAAGTCCGCGCCGCACTGCGGCCCGCGGGCAGGGGCCCGAAAGAAGAGGCACCCGGGACCGGCGGACCAGGGGGCGTTCCGGTGCGACCACATGTGCGCGCGTTAGCCCTGGTGCCTGGCAAGCGTGGGGGGAGAGGGGGAGAGAGGCAGGGAGACAGAGAGAGGGAGGGAGAGGACGCACGCCGGCATTGACGACGCTGCCGCGCTGCTCGGCCGGCAGCGGATCATTGTAGATCTGGCAGAAGCCCGGCGCCAGGTGCATGCTCTCGAGGACAGTGGCCCCGACGCCGTTCGCATGGTCGACGAAGACCGGGCAGGGTGTGGGGCTCGACACCGGACGGGCGGGCCCCTCGACACCAAGATGCCGGAGCACATCGCGCGTGGCCGCCAGGAAGGCATCGAAATGCCGCTGGAACCCAGCGTAGTATGTGGCCGGGGTGAGGGTGGCCTCGCGGTCCGCGAGCGGGTCCAGGCCGTTGGCCCGGGCCACGGCCCAATGGACCGCCGGCGTGGTGACCGACCGCATGTCGAGCAGCTCCACGCCCTTGCCCGGGGGGAGGATGCTTCGCGCCCCGGCCAGCAGGGCGGCTTTGAGCCCGGGGCAGGAGGGGCGATTGTCGACCCCGACCAGCACCCGGGCCAGGGGCTGGCCCGGGGGGGCGGCATGCGCCTGCCGGAGGCGCTCGATCGTAGCCTGGTCCACCAGCGACAGGAGGGAGTCCGCCACGGCGAGGGCATCGGCCAGACGCGCGGCCTGGCCGAGCACCGGCTCCCAGGCAGCCTCCAGCATTTGACCCTGCGTGTCAATGATCTTCAGGCCATTGTCCTGCCGATGCCGGGCGGTGTGTTTTTGGCTGTTGGCGTGAGTGGGCGTCCAGGGGCTACAGACTGGTGGCCATGAGGGAAGGCCGGAGGAGGGAGCGAGAAGGGGGGCGGGGGGTGAAGAGGGGG